TTCAGTAATAATTTTGTAACTGATTGATAATGAAATAATTATGTATGATGTTTCTGTTGCTGAACGTCAGTCTTGACAGCATGTTGTCAATTCTAATATAACAGATTGGGTAAGATTTTATTGGTGTCCTAATTATTCTTTACTTACATGTTTGGGATTTTTTTTTTTTTTTTCTACTTCATTGGCTCCACACCCTGACTACTTGCTTAAATCCCAAAGTTATCAGACCACATATTTGCTCTGGGTAGCTATGGAAATAAATTAGTGGCAGAAATAGAAATAGAAATCTGGGATTTATTAATTTTATCTGTTATTAGAAAGAATAGTATCTATGGAAGATAAAGCAATGCATCTAATATTCTTAGCTGTAGTCTTCAGCCTGCCTTGGATCCCCCTCTATCTCACACAAATTAATAGTGTTTAGTGTGTGATTCCTAGAAGATCCTGAGAGGCTGTTTCAAGCACAGCTCCGTGTGATTCTTGTTCTGACAAGGACCGGCACGACAGCAGTGCCGTCCATCTCATCATCAGTAGCACTGTCAGGGAAGGAAGAGTGCCAATGCTGAGCAGTCTGCTCAGGCCTCTCTTGGCACCAGCAAGCGCGGTGCTGACAGCTTCTTGGCTCACCGACTATTTCCAACATGGCACACAAACCATGCCCCGAGGGCCCAAATGGGCTGCACCTCCGTTTTCTTCTTACTTAGCACTAAGTAGAGTCATGGATGCATAAAATGCTTTAACAAATGTCCTGTAACCATTTAGGCCATTGCAATAAAATACATTCTTTAATGTAAAATTAGAACTTCAATAGTCAGCTGAGAGCTGACTTTTTCTGTTTTCCTAGATGGAATAGTAGTGGCCCAGTTAGCCTGGAGAACCCTGCAGGTAATAATAGATGGTCAGAGTTGGGCAGAAGGCTAAGATTCATGGCTATTTCAAGGAGATGACAGTTGGGATCCTAGATAGTAAGGATTCTAGATGTGTGGGCATTTTACTTGACTTTGACTTAAATGCTTGAGATACATGCTGCTCTTTTTTTCTCCTAGCTGTTCTTTACAGGGCAACTCATGCCAATTTAGGCTTTTCCAAACATTTATAGGTTCAGGGCTGTTAGTCTGGATTAGGGGGAAGATACATCATTTACTCAGGAAATTTTGACATCTAGTTTTAAGGCTTTTTTTTTTTTTTTTTCCTACCAGGCAGATTCAAGGGTTTATTGAGGGTGATCTTAGTCAGAGATCAATTAGTAGGTAATAACCCTGTGAAATCCCAGACTCTTTCAGGACATAATCACCTCCATCTATTCAATCTCGAAGTAGCCAGAGATTCCTTCTGCAAGTGAGAGATCTGTATTTGAGTAACTGTATTTTCTTGTTTCTGAGATTATTAATGTGTTCCTTTTCCATATACAACAATTCTTGATACATATCCAACTTTAGTGTTTATTTTTAGAATGTTAGTTATTTTTTCAGAAGCCTATTCAATTTTAATTTCTTCTTAGCTTACACTTTTATTTATGTAACCTCAGAAATGACCTATTATTATTATTATTATTATTATTATTGATTTTAGAGAGAGAGGAAGAGATAGGAAAGGTGGAAACATCGATGTGAGAGAACATTGATTGATCGCCTCCTGTATGCCCCCCACTGGGGATTTGGCCCACAACCTGTGCAGGTGCCCTGACCAGAAATTGAACTGGCAGCCTCATGGTGCATGGGTTGACGCTCAACCACTGCGCCACATCAGCTGGGCAGGAGTGATCTCTTACTGAGATCCTTTCATTAAATTCATTTTCCTTATGGCAGCCTTATTTGGAGAAGGAATTTCTTGGCTAGTTGGTGGTTTTCTCTCCATGCATACTCCTCTTCGTTTGTTTGCTCTGCACCCCAGGGTTCTCAAATGAGAACCAGCTTTTATATTTATGATTCTATATTGTTGTCTTAAGAAAATATATCCAGCCTTGGCCAGTGGCTCAGTATGTTGGAGCGCTGTCCTGTAAACCAAAATGGTTCTGGGTTTGACTTCCAATCAGGGCACATAGCTAGGTTGAGATTCGATTCCTAGTTGGCGTGTGTATGGGAGGCAACCAATCAATGTTTTTTTCTCACATTGATGTTTCTCTCTATCTCTTTCTCCCTTCCTCTCTCTCTAAAATCAATGAACGTGTTCTTGGGTGAGGATGAAAAAAGAAGAAGATATAACCAAACCATTTTCAGAGTCAGTATGTCATTTGGCCCAGTTCTTGGTAGAGGAATCTTCATGGCTCTTCCTTGATCCTCCAGAGATACTGTTCATTAGAGGCTCCAGATTCCAACCAGTGACAAAGCTATTTCCAACCTCCAGTTGCAGACTCAGTGCTCTGTTGACTCAGATGGTAAGATATTGTTAGAACTGCTTCCCATGGCAATCAAATACAAAGATGTTATGATTCATTTCCAGTAGTGCATCCATATAAGCTTCTTCTTTGAGTTGCTATTCTTTGCGTTTCCATTTCATTTCTGCTCCCCAGATAAAGATATTCTGCTTGTGACACAAGCATGTCTTTTTAAATATGTACTAATAATGTTTTGTCTGTCATGCGTGTTGGGAGTATGAGGATTCAGTGTATATTATCTCTAACATATTTATCAGAAAAAAAGTATATTTTAAATATATTTTTATTTCACTTTGGGCAATATTACAATAATGCATGTCTACTACAAAATCCAAAGATCAGAAGAAATATGATAAAAGATTATTTATTTGAACATGAGATTTCTAGATACAAGTGTGGAGAGACGGAAAATAATTGGTAAGGTTGCTACACAGAATATTTTACAGTTTCAAGATATTTAGCCCATGGATACCAAATTTTAAATATAAAAACATACTCATTGGGATCAATCTATCAATCAATTAAGCAGTTGATTGATTGATAGACAATGAGCATTGTTTAAGTAATTCTGAGAACTGAATATGTGATTCTTGGATGCATAACTCTTCAACAAAAGATGTGCTCAGAAAGCTATTAATAAAGTACAATTGGCTTTTTTGTAAAATATTTTACTCTATAAAAAACCTCATCTTACTATATAAAACTATTTTAAAGTATCATCAATTATTTTTTATGCAAAATATTGGTTTTAAAAAGTCTAATATCACATTAAATCACTTTATTGCTTTAGTGCAGGAAAAAAGGCTTAAATCGGTAATATAAATATTCAGAATAAGACATAATATTGTGGTAGGCAGTTGGACATTAGCAGAGCAAAGACGATGGGCCATGTACAGAAGGGCACCAGTGTGGAAAGCCCCAGGTGCCTAGCAATGGGAAAAACTGGAAAAACAAGGACCCCACCCCCTTCCTCCCCTAGCATAGCCCTAGTCATGACCCCCTGACCTTTCATGTTGCTGGTCATGTAGTTTGAACCCTCCCCAGACCTTTTCTTCCCCTGGCATGCCACTAGTCATGAAGGTTAGTCCCCTTTGGAGGGGAAACCAACAAGGGGGCCAGAGAATAGCCTTTAAACTTTAAAGGACAATGAGGTTCTGACTTGCATCAAATACATCTAGGCCTCATTGTGTTTCAGCTCCAGGCCCAGAAAAGCAGTAAAATCAGACAAGCAATGCCATGGCTGACCTCAGGACCAGCTTCACTGACTAATGACCTGCCCTGGTGCAACCAATCAGTAGAGACCACAGCTCTGAAAGGACACATATGAAAAACTCATGAATATTCTATTGGGATCCTCCTCTGAGACCTCCAGATAAATACCCTTAAGATGAAGCACCCAGTGTGGCTCTGTTTGTGGACCACATGGAGCATACCTGCTTCTTTCCCCACCCCTTCCCCAGGGCATTTTCCTTGCCTCCCTTTCTCCAAAGCTCTAAGGGTCTTCCTTTTGCCTCTGTAATTTGCTCCCTGTGCCCACCCAGCTTGGCTGGTTCACTTCTTCCATGCCTCGCTTCTTCTATCTCTGTGACTTTCTAAATCAACTTTTGCTCATATTTGAGTCTTGGCTCTGAATTTTTTCTTAGCCAGAACTCAAGTACCAAGGCTATTGAACCGAGGTCCAGTCACCATTAACATCCTGGTGGTGTTTTTGGGGCCAACAGTATGAATCAAACTTCTTGTTGGTTTATTCAATTTAAAATTGCAGAAACCAAAACAGGTAGAATAATTTTTTCTCCATGAAAAAGAATCAATTTCTTTCAAATATGTATGCATTGATCATATTAATGTTAATAAAACTACAAATCAAAATTTTACTGTAGCCAAACTCAAAATTCTGCATGCTAGTTTTTTAATGAGAATGTAACAATATGTATAGAAATAAATTTGAACCAATCATTCACTCAGTCACCAAGTATTTTGGAGCATCTATTCTGTATAGAGCATAGCTAAGTTTTAGGTAAAACACAAACTAACTCACACTTTTTGCTATGGTGACCACCTGTTATTTTTGTCTATACCGCATCCTTTTCATCGAGGAATTTTCTATCTCATAGAGCACTTGAACCTGGTATATCAACTTTGAAAGAGTAAGGGCTCTATTAATAGTTATTAAATTAAATTATTAAGATTTATTTTTATAATTTGAAATAGATAACAAATGTAAAGAAAAACTTAAGAGTGTAAGAAAGAGACTATGATTTTAAGCAAATAAAAAAGTCATGGGAATTATTACATTATATCTGATATTTAAAAAAAAATTATTTTCTGGCTCATAGGAACTACAAGAAAGAAGTTGTTTCTGTATGTATGAGTCAATAGTGCGAATTTGTCCAGAATCCAATAAATTCTTGTTGAATTTAAGTGACTACCATTCTGAGATATTACATTTGGGGGATTCTCAGCCATCAGGTTCTCACTTCTCCTCTCTATTGTCTCTCCCTAAAGTAGGTGTTCAATCATTAACTGAAAGGTGAAAGTTGATAGTTTGAGGTGCGAGGGCATGCTAAATAACAATTTCAGTTGGGAAATAAAGAAAAAAATGTGTTTATTTCAAGAATAGGGGATGGTGGACGGAGATATCCAAAGGGAAGGGCTACACATCACCAAGCCATGGGGTACTGGCGAGATGAGGTATGATGGCAGTCCCCGGGAGCTGGAGTTTTGTCCTTATATGTATCCACTGGCAGGAAGCTTTTGTTACTCAGTGGGTTTTGGGTCTTTGTTGATAGGTTTGGGCAGGGGGTTGGGTCTAACAGGAATGGAGATATGGAATTGGGTGCTTTATTGGTTCCTGGCATTTGGTTGCATTTCTCCTATGACGGTGAAGCTGGCAAAATGGCCGTTAGGAATTATATGGCCAGTGTAAGTCTTAACAATGATGTCTTTGGAACATATAGATACAAACTTTGTTTTTTGTGTTTTGTTTTGTTTTGTTTTTTTTCATTTTGATTACATAGCATCTGCCATCACTCCACATGTCCTTCCCAGGTTGCCTCAGACAGAAAATGTCACAGGAATTTTATGTGTCAATATTTTTCCTAGTTGGCCCCAGTTTTATCCATTTCATTATCTATGTATTCAAAAATGAAACACGTTTTTATAAAGGAATTATGTTGAGGTTCCCAACCTTATTTTTCTTAGAAGTCGGCTCTTTTATTCTAAATACCATGGTTTACATATTGTTAAAAACGACATTCAGCCAAATAAACTTGAATATCTAATTGGCTTTACTAAAAGATTCATGAAGAGTGCAGTATTTTATCCAGGAACTCTAAGGACACTGAAAGGATTGCACAGAACAGAATACTTCTTCAGGATGAAGGGTGGGGCAAGGGAACCACTAGCAAAGGAAAAGAAAGAATTGCATTCAAGCCAGGAAATCTTTTTGTGGTGAAGGGACTAGCATAGTTGTTTTCATGCATATTGCCTCTTCTTCCTACTGGGGAATAGATGGAGCCCATATGACAAATGACCTCATTGGTGTTGACAAGAAAATTCCAGACTGGTTGATTAAAATTATATTTCTGGAGAAGGTTGAAATTGCAACTAGGCTAGATATTAAATCCAGGTTTTACATCATAAGCTTCTGGCATAAGTGAGGCCAAAATTTTGGGCCCTTTGCTTATTTTTTTAATAATATCCACATTCAGTTTTACTTTCTTGTTTTCAGCATCCAAAACTTTTACACATTAGCAGGCTAGTTCTCATCTAACTTGAAGGGTAAAGGTGGGATGGTAAGAAATAAAAGAGATCATTAATTTGGCAATAGCCCCTTGTTGGCTACTGAAGACTCCATTATTTTGAGGGGACATTCCAAAGGAGAAAGAGGAAGATTAGACCATCAAATTGAATTTATTTCATTACAAAGTTACATTTTTTTTTTTTTTTTAGTTATCCATATTATTTGAACAGCACTCATAATAAATACCTTCTATCCCTTAACTCTTACTAATTTATCGTACTGCCTTTTCTTTCCGGTTTAGTTGCCATGATGAAAGAAATATTTAAAAATTGCATGTAAATATGTTACTACAGTAACCAACTTTAAAATACTCTGGTGGGAAATAATGTAAGGTGATGAATACACTGGTAAGAAAAACACAAATCAAGGAATAATAAGAACTTTCTGTAAAATTAGATTCACAAAAAGATGTCAAAAGTTGGGGCGCTGGCCCTGGCCAGTAGTTCAGTTGGTTACAGTATCATCCCAATATGCCAAGGTTGCGTGTTCAATATCTGGTCAGGGCACATACAAGAATCAAACAATGAATGCATATATAAGTGGAACAGCAAATTGATCTCTCTCTCTTTCTCTCTCTCTCTCTCTCTCTCTCTCTCTATTGATGTCTCTCTCTCTCTCTCTCTCTCTCTCTCTCTCTCTCTCTCTCCATTTCTTTCTTTCTCTTAAAAAAAAATTGGTGCTCACATAGTTAGTCTGGACACTCTTAATAACCAATGTCACACTACTTAGAGATGAAATATTTTAAATATTAAGGTGTTTTATAAACTTTCTTTAAAATAAAAGAAGAAATTGTATTAGGTGGGAAAAAATCCAATGATCCAATGTGCTTTCAATGAACAGAATTAACTATGCATCTCCGACGGCATATATTTTGGGTTATATGTCAATCCCTAATTTATTAACTGAAAGCATGGCTCTTTGACTTCCATCAGGATGATGGTGTCTAGACTAAAAAGTATAATACTGAGGAAAAATGTCCAGAGGATAAGATAAATACCATGCATTGAAAGATTATGAGCAGAAAAGTACAAAACAGGGGAATACAATCCTATCTCAAGAATTTCATAGCTGTGTGACCTTAGGTAACTACTTAACCTCTTTCTTCTTTAAAGCAAGCTCCCTGAAGGGTTGTTGTAAGAGTTAGAAATAAAATAGCTAGCTGAGTATCTAGCACTCAAGATACAAAATGATAAATTATGTCTTATACATCATCATTATAAAAAATGACTCTAAAAGTACAAGCTAGTTCTCTATTCCCTTCAAAGTTCAGGCATTGAGGTATTCTGAATATATACTTTGCTCACAAAATATTTTGCAAAACTGTTACATACTTAAGTCTGTAGAATAAAGTCTTTATTTTGTAGGTATACTCATACAGACAGGCCCTTATCACAAAAGGGGAAATAATGAGTCTCTCCATCTTACCAGCTAAGTTTATACATGGTAAACATATATTTTGAGTTACCTATAAAGTAAAAAGCATGTTAGAAAGCTGGTAGCTGAGAAAACTCCTTGAAATAGAAAAAGCTTGGTTGATTACCAAAAGAACAAAAGTCACGTAAGTTTTTTTTTTTGTTGTTGTTGTTTTTGCTTTGTAGCTTTCTTTAAAATAAATCTATAATGTCATTTTGGGAGTGTCAACTCATTAAATATTAGTAGATTAAGAGCAAATTAATGAATTATTTAAATGGTGAATCGAATTCATTTTGCATGAATAGAAAAATATATATTTTAAAAAAGGTATTTTAGAATTAGTTCCCTTACAGTAAATGGGCATATTAATATGTCTATAAGCAGAAAATAAGTACAAACAAATTCTAGGTCAACTGGTCATGATAGTAATACAGATCATCTAGGAATAAGGGTGATGCCGTTGCAATAATCTGGTTATTACTCAACAGGAAAGAAGTAAAAGGAAGACTAGATAAAATAGGCATGCGATTTGTACAGCTTTTGTCAGAAAGACAACAGTTAATACTCCAGGTCTGTTCCCCACTAACGGATGGGGGAAGGGACTGGACAAAGGCAGTTTAGACGCATGTTCAGTAAGGTTTGAATGATGTGGGTAGGTGACTACCTGTCTGTCACACCTGGAAGCAAGTCAGTGGCCAGATAGGCATGGCCACTGCAAGCTTGAGAAACCTGAATATTTAATCTCCCAGACAAACGAAAGTGTTTTCTCTCTCTCTCTCTCTCTCTCTCTGCCCTCCTGCCCTCTTGGGATTCCTATTGCTGAGGGAGTGTTCTCCTGCATTCGCCTATGTGGTTCACAGTCGTGTGGACTCCACACAATGGATTAATGGACTGAATCTAGACAGATGCTGATCTGGACCTGGTTTCATCATGGAACGGACATTGTGGACGCTGCCTCTGTTCTAGTTCTACTGAACCCACAGCTGCATGTCTTCCAGGACTGGGTTAAAGGAACTGAGACATTACAACCCCAAGAATATAATTCCATGCCGGTAAAGACCATTCATTCTCCCATGCCAGTCTTAGAAAATTCATTGTCTAAAGATATTGTTCCCTGACTCCCAGTGCCAAGAATCTGACCTACTCATACCTCTTATAACAAAGGGATTATTAAAATCTCGAGTTGAATGTCAGTCTGGCTAAAATAAACACCTCATCAAATCTCCTCTGTGTCTATAAATTCCCTGAAGAGGCAGTTACACATAACACAGATGTTAAACATCACCTACTACTTTGGTTATTTACCTTTAGCATTATACAGTCATTGGCTTAAAAGACAACAGAAGCCTTTACTGCTTATGTGCAAATGAGGGGAAAAAAATTTAGGATGCTAGTCTAGCCTAAGTCAAAGTTAACATGCCTTGGCTTCTATTACTCAAAGGACTGCCAAGTCTCGTTGGGAACATAATCTGCCACTGTATCATCACCTCACATTTGCTAGATCCTGACAATAACCCATTCTGGGCTAATATCATGACAAATAGCACACTCTTGTGATTTATATTTGGCGTATCTGCAAGGGATTCATGGACACTGCCAGAAAAATAAGTTTCTTCCTATAAGAATTTTTAATTAAAATGGTTTCCTTAGTTACAGTTATTATATATAAAGTAATGAAGCAAGAAAATTTGTTGGCAAAATGAATTCTTAAACATGTTGATAACATATTTGTAAACTATTAACCATGATTTTATTTTATTTAAAAGGATTTTTAATATATATTTTTTTTATTTTTGTTTGTTTGTTTTAGAGAGAGAGAGAGAGAAACATTGATGTGAAAAAAATACATTGATCGGCTGCCTCCTGCATGCCCCCTACTGTGGATCAAGCCTGCAACCAGGCATGTGCCATGACTGGGAATCGAACCAGGACCTCTCAGTCCCTGAGCTATCGCTCAATCCACTGAGCCACACCAGCCAGGCTTAACCATGATTTTATAATGCGCTCATAGAAATCAAAATAAAAGAAAAGATCAGAGTTACAACACTAATAAGAGGCAAGAGAAAAATGTTCTCAGGTATGACTGTGTTATGTAGAAAGTTCATAGTTAATATTACAAATAAAAAGTGACTCCTTTGCTATTCTTCATTTAGATCCCCGCCACCTTTTTTAAAGAAGATTCTGGTGGCATTTTGCTAATTATGAGTCATAATATGCCTAAAACCTGTTTCATAAAGAGAAAAGAAAGCATAACATTTCCCACTGTAATTTGACCAGTTCAGTTTTTCAGATTTACAGCCGTGAATATAAAATCTCCTTTGTTATGTGTAAAGCTGAGTAATTTACAACTACTGTAAACATAAAGACATAAACATGTCAGAATTACCTCTTTAAAATTTGTGATTTGAGGACCATTTAGAAGTGAAAATTTTATAAAAACTAAAGTAGATTGTATATCGCTTAAATGTTTGTTTTCTTTATTGATTTTAGAAAGAGAGGAAGGGAAAGAGAGATAGAAACATCAATGAGAGAGAACATCGATCAGCCGCCTCCTGCTTGCCCCCAACCTGGGCCTGTGTCCTGACTGGGCCTGTGTCCTGACTGGGAATTGAACTGTAGATCTCTTAGTGCATGGGTCAATGCTCAACCACTGAGACACACCAGCTGAGTGATTGTATATAGCTTAAAGTTTCTGAAAATTAGGATG